AGAGCATTTTGTACACCGAAATGTTCCTGGTAAATTTTGTTTCAGATCCCTTCCGAAAGCAACGACTGGAAGCTGTGAGTTACCGGACGCTGGAAAAAGCAGGGCTCGCTGATAGGTTTGCTTCACTGCTCACAAGAACCAGTGACGCCATGTTCCTGCTGATCTTGATTTTCCACATTGTGATGATCTCCATCGTGCAGAAGAAAACTTACCAGATTGTTTTTTATTTACTTTTTTCATTTCTGTTTGGGTGGTGTCAGAGTGAGCAGAGAACCCACCAACTTCTCTCTGAAAATGAGTGAGATGAAATGTTTTTCTGTCTTTTCCTTGAGGATCTTTGTCTTCTCGGTGTTAAACACTTCTGATGGAAACAATTTTTTTCTGGGCCCTTGCAATCATATTTCTCAGCACCGTCTAATGCAAACCACTGCTCATTTGAATAGTATTTTCAAAGCCAGAAGATGAATCAGACTGCAGTTTTATTTTATTTTCTTTCCCCTCAGACTTGTTTTTCTCCCCACGCATTAAAGAAAATGTTCTGATTTTTTACATTTTACAAATACATTGCAGGTATTTAATTAATTTTTAATTCGTTTTCTCTCTTTTACCTGTGATGGTTTCATACTTTTTCTTGCAAGAGATATTTAGAGAGCCTAAGTTATACATTAATAATTATTTGTAAAGATAAGATGGAAATGTATAAATAATTGTGAGCATATGCATTGTATTCTAGTGCTGTATTGCAGCATTTGGTTTCTAACATTCACTATAAAAAGTGAAACTATATTCCTTTTTTTGAATACATTATGCAGATGTGCAGTTAGTTTTTAAATTCAAATTCATATGTATACAGTATATACAGCTGTTCTGTGATATTGTTAACTATAGGAAATACTGCATGTTTCTTACTGTATGTAGTTGATACAATGATTTTCTGCATGGATCAAGGATTTTAGGAAAGCACAAACAATATAATGGAAGGGTTCTTCTTTGTTAGCTCTTGGCTGCTGGATGAAATTTGGGTCGTTTTACTAAATTTAGTATGAGCCGATGGTGCAATATGCGCCATACTGTGGTGATAGGCCTTCTTAGCCCCTGCTGCAAGCCACTGGGAAAAACTCCTTTCCTCTGCTCACAAGAGTGATGCGGGTGCTTCTGTCTGCTTATGACATTACACTGCAGAGAGTGGAAAGAGCGAATTTCTAACCTAGCTCTCTTCTGGAAATTGTATAAGACCAGCTACATTTTATTCAGCCCAGATGTGCAGAGTGTGGTTGGTCTAATTAAGCTTTTATACACGTTTCAAATGCTTTGCACAGAGCACTTGTCCCAAGATCGCGCAGTTCGTGTATTTGTTTCCTCGTAGAACACGGCATTCCTACATCCGTTGATTTCAATGGATGTGACCCGGCCCACATGGTGGCTTCTTTCAACAACGGCAGCACAGTCATTTACGACCTGGAGACTTCACAGCCGGCAGCGGTGTTGCTGTCACAGGGAGAAGGAAATAGATTTACTCCCCTATTTCAATATCTCTCTTTGTTTACCTGCCATTTAAAATAATGCCAAAAGAAACCTGCGGTAGGCCTGCAATGAGATTCCGTTGAAAGGCTGGTGATTGCTGTGGTGGATGTACAGAGTAGTGGAGAGCTTTGGCTTCGTTTCCACGTGAAGGGAATCATCAAGAATCCCATCTGCACTGACCCTGGAGCAGAAGCTCCTCCTTCGGCCTTTCCCCCGATTTTGTGCTCTGGTCACGGCGAGAGGAGGAAACACCTCGGGGGCAGAGTCTCGGGGCCACATCAGACTGGGCCACCTTCTCAAAGCCCCAGAGGTGCGAGAAGGAGGAGAAAGCGAGTCGACTCACGGGTTCACGGCTGTAGAGGGGCGCCTTTTCTTTCCTTTCACAGATCGACCACCCGTTCGGCCGCAGGAAAAGGTTTTGTAAACGGCAAAAGCGAAATCCGAAATGGAAAAGTAGGAGAAGAAGAGCCTAGCTACACAATTTGGAGTTCTGCCAAATGCTGTCTGAATAATTAGACTGCGTACAAATTCCGCAATAATGTGATTTGTGCTCACCCTCTAATCAACACAGACCATTACTGTGCCCCTGACTCGGTTATTTTTTGCACGTTATTAATCTATTTTTATGCGTTTATGCACACCACTGGTAATTTGCGGTGATTATACACATAACCTATAATTTAGAGAAAGCTACTTAGTTAAAAATAATGAAAAAAGCTCTTGTCAAATGTGAGTTTTGGTGGAGACGGAGTCTACAAGGCATTACTCATATGTTTAAATACAAAAACTAAACAAAATCAAGTCATCTTTGTTATCTCTTCTCTATCCACCCATTCGGAGGTGGACTGTTAGGAGGCCCAGGTGCAGAACCCATCTCCTTTCACCAGTCGCACAGTCAGCAGCCGATCCTCTCCAAAGCCCTTTCCAGAGAAATCTCAACTGAAGGAAACCAATTAAACATTCGGGACACTGTTGGACATTTCCATACATGATCGTGCTTTTCCCACCATGTAATAGTATACAGAGGACTCTCATGTGTGTTCGTTCTAATTTAACCCGTGCCGGCCTGAGTAGAACAGGCTCCCCCTTTCGAACCTTGGTTCCTCTCAAGGTTTCTTCCTGCTTCAGTCTGAGGGAGTTTTTCTTTGCCACTGTCGCCTTAGGCGTGCTCACTGGGGGTTCAGGCCCAGACATCTGTAAAGCTGCTTTGTGACAATGCGCCATACAAATAAAACTGAATTGAAAATTGGATTGAATCTCTGAATTAGAGGACAGTCAAACATTTTAGTAATAATAGATTTTCCTCAAGCTTACAGCTTACTTGGACCTACAGTTTTTGATAAGAGATAAGAGATCGAAACACAGTGTGCACTCTTTTATTTAATAGTGATTAAATAGTACAGTCCAACATCATAAGAAAGACTCTGTATATATTTACTGTAAATAGGGCTATCATACATATGGCTATCGTTCTGGAGAACATATCTAAATGTGATACTTTCAGGTTTGTGAGCCATGGATACCCAGAATTGGTGTACTGCTTTTATGTACTGCTAAGTAGAGACCTAAGAATCAGTTTATATAGTTCAGTGCATCAGAAATTGATTAACAGCAATTACTGTAAATAATTTCATACCAGTGCCTTGATAGATGTAATAATGGCATGCAATGAATATTTAGATAGAACATATAAATATGTTTAGGTTTTGAGGAGAAGCGCTGATTTTTTTCATCAGTTTCGTTATTTATCAAATGTATAAGGATTTTCAGATAGTCCTTGCATTAGCATAACATTTTTTTCATTCATGTGTTTTTGGTTTTTCTTTTTCGTCGATTGAACTGACTGCTTAAATGAGCCACGCTAGAGTTTCCCGGTGTTTTGCTTTAATGGCTCAAAAGGACATGACTGAATTTCTTTTGTTGGTTCTTCCAAAGTTCCCAGCCGACAGCTCCTGATTATCTGGACTGTACAGAAGAACACAGAAAAAAGACTTAATAAGACATGAAAGGAGGCCAGCTTTAGCCCCAAGCCTCATTTGGTAGTTTAATAGCCAATTACACTAAAATTTTATCCGTCTGGTTCTTGAAGGAGCCAAGCGTTTCCTATTCTCAGTCTGAAATGAATTCTCTTTTAGTTTCCAGTCTTGTGATCTAGCCCCGCAGGTTGAACCCATCTTTATAAATTTTTTGTATACTTGGATCAAGTCTTCTAGTCTGTGTATTGGACAATCCTTTGAGACCAAGAATAATGCTTGTTGCTCTTCTTTGAGCTCTTCCAAGGCTCATTTGTGTTGTACAGTAAGCAAAACCGAACATGATATTCAGAATGAGACCTTACTAGTGCATTTTAAAGTGTCAGAACTTTTTTTTTGCTCTATACCCAAGCATTCTGTTTGCTTATTTACGGTTTCCCTACATTGGAAATCCTGATGAGGACAGATGAATCTGTGTAAACAATCAAATCCCTTTCATGTGTAACTTCCTGTAGCTCAGAATCAGCCCTTTGACATATACTGTAAAGTGACTTCCTACTTCTTGTGAGGATCCTTTTGCACTTATCAGCATTATAAGTTTATCTGCCATTTGTCTGCCCAATCCAGCATTTTATATTTTAGAACTTTTAGAACTCCCTTACCACTGTTTCTGTTTGCCACTCCCTTTATTTTTTGTATTATTTGAAAGTTTAACTAGTTTACTAACTATATTGGCATCTACAGTGTTATGGATTATGAGGAGCAATGGGTCTGAAATAGATCTCTGAGACATATTACTTCTTACTGCTGCTCAATTAGACGTTGTGCCACTTAAAATGACGTTTTCTATTCAGTAACCAGTTCCCAAACCGTGTGCACACATCATGTTGAAAATCTATGGCTTCGAATGTCAGAATTGACCTTTTTATGAGGGACCTTTTCAAAAAGCTTTCTGGAAACCTAAATACAGTATGTCATGTGCTTTAGTTTAATCAGCCGGCCGTGTTGTTTAAAGAATTCTAGCACGCAAGTTAAGACCTTACTTTTTTACATTCACATTGTCGAGTAAAATGCCATTGTTTTGTAAGCATTCTTCTAGTTTAGCTTTAAATATAACTTTCACAGTAACTGTAACAGAAGTAAGACTGAATGGTCTTGAGTTTCCAGTTTTGATTTTGTCCCCTCTTCTCTGAATGGCCGTTCAATTTGCAAATCTCTCATCTGTTGGTACAGCTCCCATCCACAGTGAGAGTTGCAATATCCTATCTAATGATCCATGAATCATATCATTTTCCTAAGTGTAATTGTGGAATTCTTTTCAAAAAGTCATAAAAAGCCCTGAAATGTATACTGAAATGTACACACAGGTATAACAAATTGACCTATAAATGTACTGTAATGTGATTTTTCTCTACAAACTGTAAGCAGTGTATTAAATGCAACAAGGTTATCATCTGTATTTCTGAACAACTGCTTTCCTTTTTTGTGCTTCTGTGGTTGCAGCCCTTTGGAAGTGCGAAGACTGAACGACCAGCTTATGGAAGTGGAAAGAGCTTTTATTGATCCTTTGGGAATATTTGGCAGACCGTGGTACAGGTGAGGTACTGCTTACATACTGTATAACAGTAGAATTGATCCCAGTGTTTTAGCTGAAAAGTAAAGACTGTACATAGTGTATTTAGTGTCTCAATGACAGAACAACATCATTTATTGTATAATTACTAACCAAGATCCTGGTCCAACTAATGCACATGTGCGAGTGTTTTAACATTAGCCTTTGATATTAATGTAACATTAATCATTAACTTTTCTAAAGAGGCTGTGAAACCTTTACAAGGAACAATGCAGCATGAGCACACATGTCTGAATCATAACAAGGAATCAGCCTAAGTGTTTACTTATAACATTTCTTTCACCAGCATACTGTATATCACTGGATGTCTAATATCAATGCAGTAGAATGAAAAATTAAAAATAAAACAAAATGTGTCAGGTTTATTTTATTAAGACCATAAGAATGACAGACACGCTGCAACATATTCCATAATTCATAGTGAAAAACCTTTTAAAACCACGTTCTATGAAGCTTAATAAATGATCATCCCCACATCACACCAATTTATAACAAAGCGCTGCTGTATTTGCAAGATGAAATGTATGCATATTTTATCATAACAGCAATCAGGGATATTATCAGTAATAACTCACATAAAACATTTTTTAAGTCTAGTTCATTACTGTGGTGGTACATTCAATTTTCTGTAATTTACTGTATATTTCTTAGTAATGCATGATGTGATTTTATGTCAGTTTGGCCTGTATCATGAATTAGCTAGCAGTGATGTTCAGCAATATGCAGTTCTGTTGTGATTGCTGAAATTAAGTGGGAGGCAAAGTATTTCAAATGACTCATAAATCTTTCCAATTCTGTAATCATCCAAGAGATTTATTAGTCATTGGAATTATGTAAACGTACTCCCATTTCCAGCGCATGTGTTTTTTCTCCTTTCCATTGAGTTGAGAACATAGTCCTTCAAGCTCCGTTGTCATGTGGGACAATCTAAAGGGTCACTACCTCTTCATATATTAGATTTGACCACATCTTCCTTGCGGAGAATTTCTATCCACTTCCTTTTGCACACAGCCCCTCTCTCTCTCTCTCTCTTGCACAAACACTATATATCAGAGATGGAAGATAAAGCTTAGATTCAGTTTTTCTTTTGTTTGCTGGAGTGGTGATAAATTGTAAAAGAAAGCCTTTATGTGAACAGCCTTTTCATGTTACAGGTAACTTTAGAATAATGCCAGAATTGTTTGTGGTAGGTGGAGGCTATGCACACGTTTTCCTACAGTCTTCCGTTAAATGCTAAATACCATTTTGTGAGCAATTTCATAATCTCAATTACTGTATGTGAAAATATGTGGATCTAGACAGATTTTTATACCTGACCTAGCTAATAGTTCTCTGATAAAAGCAATGCTATAAAGCATTTTATTAAAAGAATTTAAAGAAAATTAAGTAAATGAAATGATTTTAATTAGAATTTTAAGAATGAGCTTGTTCTCCGCTCACATTTTTGTCCTTTACGTATTTGCAGTTATTGAATTTATTCCATCAGAGTTAGGGAGAGTCATCTTATAGTCTCTTGAATTACCCCCAGAAAGTGCTTAAAATATCCTGTACTTAATCTCGGTCGATATTTTAGGTTCATTTAATTGTTCTGTTTTAATCCTGAACAAAATGTATATTTAAATATATATTTTTGATAACATAACATAGGCTGTTCAATGAGAAGGAAAAACATGAACACCAATATCAAAACTGATTACAGAAAAAAAATTCAGATGTATTTTTAAATATTAATAAGTCTTTGTTTTTAAGTACAGTATGTTGACAAAGGGGAGTACAAAATATACTTGCCGGGCTGCTGACGCCATTGTCGCTGTTTCTGCATGAAAATAAAATAATACAAATTACTGATCGACTGATCCCTGGCCCAGACACGGAGACACTGCCTTTCAAAATGTTTCTGTGCTAAGTAAAGTCCATGTCTACTATTTGCATGAAAACAAGTGCACACTGGGAAATGCACGAATCAGAAGTAAGCGTTATTCCCAGACGAATGACTGGCAGAGGCTGCTAGGGTTGGCTCAGGTCATGACAGGACCAGGGCTGCAGGTTGATCTCTTTGTTGTCCCACGAGCAATACCGGGGTGACAGCGGGACACCTTTCAGAGCAGTCAGAGCACAACTCTGGCACCACTTGTCTGCATTAGAGTAAGTGCTGGTTGGCAGAAAGGTCTCCTGTTAGGAGAGTTTTTAATGTGTGAAATGTGTATCCTTCTGAGATGAAAAGTAGTTGCCTTGGTGTAAATTCTACTTGGCTGTAAGGGAGGACTATATAAACATTTATTTTTTCCCCTTTATTATTCCTGGAAACAGATCATGATCAATTTCAAGTGGTCACAACTTCGCATATAAATAATGACTATGCTTGCTTGAGAATTACATTAGAAATTACATTAGAAAACACTCCTTCAATGTCATACTGTTCACTCCAGACCCTTCAGGGTTCTGTATTTGTCACAAAGAACGTGTAGTTGATTGCACTGTGTTTCCAAATCATTTAAATTACCCCAGAAGAATTGCAATAACATCTGAGCATTAGAAGATGAAGGGGACAAATGGTGGTCAGGAGGGGGCAGGAGAAAAGAATGTGTTGTATATAATGTGGTACCATGGGCAAAAGGCAATGGGACAGCTTTTAAAAATGCATGCATCTGACAGCTGTCAAATTTAAAAATGCTGCACCCTGATAGGCCAAAATATTTTGATGGAAAATGTTATTTTAGTGTTTGCTTGCTTTGCAGCTAACCTTATCTAGGGCAACTATGTATGGTTTACATGTACTGCAGTTGTCAAAAAAAGTGCAAGAGGTTAAAGTACAACTTCCCCTCCAAAATATCACTCTGCCAGACTTGGATACCTACAAAACCCACCTGCAGTATTGCCTGAGTTGTTAATAGAGTGTACTACTTCTACTTCTTTTTATGAAAGTGAATCAATTCCTCAAAAATCTTTCTTATAAAAAAATTTCCATTCCATAATGGGGACAAATTACACCCCTACTTTTACTTTTTTCTACTAAAAAATGTAAAAAGAACCAATCATAACTGACATTCATGCTGTGGCTTGTGTTTTTTAGTGATGAAAACACTACTAACCTAGTTAGAAATCATGAATCGTACCCAAGTCACAGTAACCACTTCATTTGCTTTTTGTGTAAATACACACACACGGACAATTTTCATTTTCATAACACCTTTAGGGTCAATGATAAAGTCTAAAACACAAATAATCTCACGAAAAGAGCGCACACAAATAGCGAAAAGACGCGTGAAGTGTATCTCTGTGCCGGCTCACACCTGCACTCATTAACGGAATGTGACGCAAACACTTGATATGAAACGAGGCGTACGACTCCTTCCTCTTCACTGTCTACAACTGCTGTAGGTTTCCGTTTTTTTTCTTAGTATCGCTTCTTCGTAGTTTGGAGGTTGGCTTTCTTGATTCGAAATGTGGATATCGAATCACATTCGGTACTTCATCGTATCGCGCCTTTGTTTTACAGGCACACCATTTTTGCTCCTAGTCAGCATGATGCTTATGGGTCATCAAGTTTTCCTGGCCTAACAGACGCCTTGTTTGACATTGAGAATGACAAGGACCAAGTCAAGCGCTGGGAGGCAGTTAAGAAGGAAGTATCAGTGGCTGCCTTCACAATCCATTCAGCTGCTGGTGTAATGAAGGATGTTAATGATATCGGTGGACTGAACACAAACTAATGTCTCATTTCTCATTAATATCATTTAACATCGGTTAAGTGATCAATCCATTTGTTTCGTGTAAACCATACAGTCAACTCAAGAATCATTGGCATCCTTCATGAAACTGAGCAAAACAGAATGTAAAAAATAAACAACAAAAAAGCATAGATGCCACTGGTATGTATATATGCCACATACATACCCCTATGTATTTGAGAAAAATACTATTACTCATAAAACAACTTTTTTAATGAGAATAACTTTTATTATAGCGAAGGTAAGTAGTTTCCCCAAACGTTTGAACAGAACATTTCAATCATTATGTGTATTGTTTATTTTATACAATCATTTTTGCTGAGTTTCATGAAGGGTGCCAGTAACTCTTGAGTTGACCGTACCTCTGTCTAACGAAGGACTATTATAGCCATCTCCAAGATAACTGAGAACTGAGAATATTAAAAATAGAAGATGTGGTAATTGTTTTTAAGATGATGAATTGTTTTTCAGATGCTTCTTAAATTTCTGTGTCAAGATTTTAAAAAATTATGGAAACTATAAATCTTTATTTATCCAATCATATTTCTGTTATCACCCTTCTGGTGTTATAAATGTCAATTTGTGTCTGGTTTCATTTTACACACATTTAAACATTTAATTCACATTTTAAATACTGATTTTGTTACAGTTTCATTTCAATTCTACATTTTTGCTAAAGTTTTGATGAACAGGAAATGAATGGCTTAAGAGTAACTGAACTAAGAGTTTAAAGGTGCTTAATTCAATAAAGAAATAATGTAGAACACAACACAAAGCATGTGTACCATAGACAGAGTAGGCATTGTTGTATAGAGCCTTGTCTTGCCAAAAATGTTTCACCTTGTAAGGTATAGAAAAATCTCTTTTTAAATACCAATTTCCACTCTTCAACTCCGTCCCAACAATCCAAAAAGCAAGAGTTATAATAAAGCCCTCAATTAGAGCAATCATACTTTAGATTAATTTGCCCAGACTGTGCTATGCTAAATGGATTTTTTTGTCAGTGGGGTCCATTCGGATTTTTCATCTGTTCTTCCTGATGAGGTGTAGGCTGTTGCAGATTCATATTTTCCACTTGAATGTTTGATTCTTCTTCCTGCATTTCACCATTAGAGTAATTGCTCTATTGAGGTAAGGAAAAAGTAACAGTTTCTAAGGAGACAGGTTTTATTCTGTTTCAGCTCTTAAAATATGAATAACCTTGTCTTTTCATACAAGACAACTATCATAGTAGTCAATTTCTCAGTGACCTGTTAATTCAGTACTGCATTAGCAAATGAAGGTTATTGAGTGTACTGTAGGTAAGATGTGGTATTAACATTTGATTGTTCCTTAAGATGGTAATCATTTGTTATTGTAAGAAATCAGTTGTGTTAATAAACATTTAATAAGTAGTGATATTTGCATTATTTCAAATGTATTCATCTGTATATACAGTATGTAATATGTATCCTCTTCATTACAATATTGGTGTGAATGAGAATTTTTAAAAGGCTGACGTTCGTTCACAGTAGGAAGTGAAACTTTTACAAACGGGTTGTAGCTCCTCAGCTCTAAGTCTGAGGTTACAGGGGAGGAAGGAAGTTAGCTGATTTTCCTTTTTTATGCACCAATTTCAAGACATTGGCAAAATAAAAAAGATACATTATGCTGTATATAGATTTTCTGAATCCCCAGTGAGTCCAAAATGATTCGTACAGCCTGTCTTTTCAAACTATTGAGCTGTACCTCAAAGGCAGTGAGTACTCCATGACTACAGGGCGTGTGCCAAAAACAATGATCGTTATGGGAGGAATTTCCTGATTCACCTTCCTTTAGAGTTATTCTGTAATTTTTGGTGTGTATAATTTAATACACTGTTGTGTTGGAGTACATGACAAGTTTATCTTGCATCACTGCTAGTAAATCTGTTTGTTGTACACAAGGGGCTAAGAAGAAGAATGTGATACTCTTAAAAACGTGGCCAACAGCGCGTTATTACACCCATCCATTTTCTAACAACTTAATCCAATTCAGGGCTGCTGGGGAGCCAGAGCCTCTCCTAGGAAGCAAGAGGCTCAAGGCAGGACACAGCCTGGATGGGACGCCAGTCCCTCACAGGGTAAACAGACATAACAGTCCACATCAAAGACTGGTTTCCCCAGTTATCTACCAGCTAATCTACCAGTATGTCTCTGGGGGATATGGGCTGAACATAAAAACTCAATGCAGAGAGCACCCCAGGAACTGAACCCAGGACCCCAGTACTGAGAGGCAGCAATGCCCACCACTGCCTCACCCTGCCACTCCTGCGCATTACTGTACAATGAAAATACAGGAGTTGCTCTTGAGCCTTTCGGAAGCATCGCATCTTTCAAAGAATACAGTAACAAAAACACCATTTGTTGTTGTTGGCTCTTCAAAAAAAAAAAAATACTTTTTCCTTTTCTTTTTGGGAGGCATTTTCCTCATGAAAGTATGAACAACCTAGTGTGACTATACTGATAACATCCCTGGAAAACATATTTCATGGCAACAGCTCTCTCTTTAAATAAATACTAGTAAGAGCTGACTGCCTGTTTTGCCCTCGGAGAGATAACTGAGTCATTATCTTTGCTAGGCGTCTAATTGGCAGATTGTAATCTATCAGCTTCTGTCCAAGAACGATGACATGGATGTGTCCAAATAAAGAACAGGTTCTAAACTGACCTGATGAATATGCAGCCTGGAATGCTCTTTATTAAATAAGTGGGCCTTGCTAATCACATTGGGCAAACAGAATGAGTGAAACATTATGGAGACCTGTCGAAAGCAGTCCTTGCTTCACGTACACAGTAGGAACTCCCATTGCTGTAACAAGTCTTTAGCTGGTATAGAAATTTAAAATGTCAACTCTTGCCAGAGTGTTATAGAATAGCTTATTTGAAAGGAGAGACAACAGAAAGTGCAATTAAGGCTGCAAGACACTGAATCTAAGGGCCAGACAAAAGATTTCATATATTGTATGACGGCAGCGGTTGTCCTCTGTTTCCAAGGACTTCCAGAGGAGGTCATGTCATGTTTATAGCATCGCATCTATAATTGAAGCTGGAAGGGGACCAAGCCGCTCGTGAGATTTTTTCCTATTTGTTTTGGAAGGATAGGTACACCTGCCTTGAACTTGGTGGCTCCAGGGATCTGAGCACTGGAAAATCTCTTTACGGCAAGCAACTGAAGGGCACAGAGGACTTCATTGCCAGATTTTGCAGGTTTACCAAAAACAAGCCTTTCTATATTGCTTCCCTCCACCCAACCAGCCACTAACACCATGACACCCTTTAACTCCCCCAAACATCATGCTTCAAACCCCATGTGAGAATATGCACTTTTAACCCATCAACGATCTAGTTATTTAGTTAATTAATATCCTGTGCTACTAATTACAGGTGATAGAGATCTAATTTGGGGGCCCTGCTGGCAAGTCTGCTGATAATAACAGTCTCTTCATAGTCCAGTCTGTTACAATCTATACTGAAGAACATTAAAAATGCAACAAATGAGTACTGAAACCAATACCAGTCTTGCATTATTAATATCTCTCATATATATCTGTATCTCTATGAATCTATATGCGGCGCAATCCATTGTAGGAAAAATAAAACAGCTTATTCACAGTAAAAATAGGAATACTTTTATTGTGGACACTTAATAATGCAAGATTGAAAATGATTTTGAACAACTGGATGTACATTCATTAGAATACAATAAAAGCAGAAGTCTATTTGCAGATTACTAGGAAATTGACATCCTCTTGGCTTAAAAGAACATTGCATTTCTATCATTGACTTGTGTATATGTCATTATATACAGTACTTAGGGGTTATCTTAAATTAATCAACCTTCATTCAGCAAACAGAAACATTTGCTTCCAGCTTTCAGCAGAATCTGAACTTGTAACTGGGAAATGTCTGAAACCAAGGTTTGGAACTTCTCTCTTACTAAGACGACGGATGCATCAGAAAATAAAACTTAGAAAATGCATCCTGCATCCCTTTTTATGAGTGGAAGGTTGACATGGATTCATGCAACAGACAAAATGCAAAGTTATTACCATGGTTATTTGGTTATGAAGGGCCTTCAACAGGTATAAATTGACATCACAGTAGGTACACAGATCTGCCATCCTTTAATGGGCAGAGCCAAAAGAAAACCCAACTGATGTACAGTAGAGCTCTACAATTAATATACCAAGTTGTTTGCAACCACACAACATAAGCCCACATCCACCACCAAATGGGATATACCAGGGAGGAGGGATGTCTGAGATACTTAAACAGGTGTGTTTAAGATAGCCTCCGTCAAAAAATGAGCTGTCCTGTATTTTTACTAGTCTGCTTGCAGTGCATCTTAGCTGGTCGGTGCTTAGTTTTTAGTTAATGGGCTTGCATTTGTCTTATGACTTATTTTTCATTCTGCTTATGAGGGATAAACTTTTGCCTTTTTTTACAAGGTAAATATCACCGTGGAATCCACTGTAATTAGTGTTTGAATAGTATGGCTCACAGGTATGCTTTGGTTTTAATAAAGCCGTGGACTAATATCCTTGTTCTTGATATAATTCTATGGTGTGTTTTAATGGGTAGATGACTAAGAGCATAATTGGAATGTGAATGATAATTCTGGACAAGAAACATGCCGAATATGTAATACAATTCTATCAATATTAATTTAATCGTATTATATTGATATTAATATAAATTATTAATTACTTATATAAGCACTTTGCACAAATGAAAGAACCCACTTTACTCCATTCTGAGTCGATGATTACAAATCTCAAGCCTTTAAGTATTTTTTGTCTTAGGTCATTGTACAGTTTTTAAATAGGGTTTGCATGTGCTGTTTGCATTGCTGCATGATTTAATAAGACACTTATGGCTAAGATTTACCTAGATAAAGACTTCTCAAAGATACAAATGCTTCTTTTACCACCAAATGAAAGATTATGCTATATAAAAGATTTTAACAGATAAGGTTTAATATCTTCGGTGATACAAATTTTCTCCTGTTGCTCCTGTGAGACGGGTTTTGTCCTAAATTGTCTTGACAACATTTAATTTACCTTAGGACATGAAGCACCAGGTCAAGATGTATCTGATATGATAACAGAGCTTTCCTACTGGTACATGTTGCACACAAGCCCTGAAAGGAAGCTAGAAGTTTACCATGGCAATGAAATTGGACTTATTATCAATGTGAGGTTTGTTCTAGTTGTCATTGTTGTTTTTGCACTTTTAAGTTGAAGGCTTAAGGCTCTAGATCTTTTTGTGTCCAAAGATTCTGAGATAATGAACAATATTTGAACTGAAAAATAGTCAATAAAGGTAATTCTCTTACCTGTTGTTACGTCCCAGTGTGTGATCTACTGTATGTGTGTTTTTGTTGTTGTTCCACACTTCTGACTTTGATTGTTCTCCCTCCCCCATTGGCCCACCATTACACACTGTTTCCGTATGAGATCATCTTCAGTTAGCTTCTCGACCAATCACAGCTCATCTTATTCAGTATAAAACATGGAGGTTTTCAGAAGGAAGAGGCCTTTCGTTTGACTTCTGTCTCGCTTCGCTTCGCTTCGCTTCGGATTTTGATTTTGATTTTGATTTTGATTTTGATTTTGATTTTGATTTTGATTTTGATTTTGATTTTGATTTTGATTTTGATTTTGATTTTGATTTTGATTTTGATTTTGATTTTGATTTTGATTTTGATTTTGATTTGTGTGTTTTCGTATAGCTTTGGCTTTGTTGTTTTGTTGGTTTCTGTTCGTCTCTTTGTACTATTGTTTGTTTGTGTTATCCTTATTTTGGCATTACCTTGCCCGAACTTGTTATTGTATCAACCTCTGTGTTCTTTTGTACCCTGTTACTTGTCTACTCTTGTTTGTATTCGTAGTTCACTTGTGTATTTGTGTGAACTTTTGTGTATAGAGTTAGTTCAGGTTGTTGGGTACCTTCTACACACGTAGTTGATTTTTTTTTATTAGTCACACCAGTTTAGTACGGGTGAGTGCCGTTTGTCTTGTGTGGTTTTGGGTAGTCAGTGGAGGTTAGCTAGGGTGTTGAAGACGCTGAAGACCGTGTGTTTCAGGTTTTCTTCCGTAGTCAGGTTAGCTTTCCCTCACTTTGCTAGCCAGCTCCATTTTGTTTGTTATTTTCTTTTCTTTGGCACCACTCTAGTTCCCTTGCCTGTGTGTTATTGTGTCTTACCAGTCACTTATTCACCTTAAAATGATCACTTTTTGCACCAACCCTTGTTATCGTGCTTCCTAGTCCCTCACCAGAACCCACCTGCTTCCAAAAATTATCCTAAATGTTACACCCCTTTACCCCTAGACACTTGGGGTCGTAACACCTGTTTTGAGATGGTCACAGTTAACCATGCTCTAACATTGAGACAATGAACAGACTTTATGACGGTATTTAATAGGTTCAACCCAGATGGCTCACATTTCTGCAGAGAGGAAAACACATCTGTTTAGCTCAGTTCAAGTTCAAAACTTGAATGATGTCATTGCAATTACTCAGTTGTCACCAAAACATTGTTAATTTTTACATGAATTGAAACAGGATGGGTTTTTGTGTACAGTTTTAAGCTTGTATTGTTTCTGTTTTCCTGATGTTGTTTCAGTGATTCAGTAAAAGAATAACTCACACAGTCTTGTAAATGTGAACATTTACAATGAAACAAGAGCTTGCAGTCCTGTGAAGTTTCCATCTGCCTGTGGGGTACACCAAGCGAAACGTAATGTTTGCTTTTGAGATCATGTTTGCTTTTGAGGTAAAGCTCAATACCAAAATCCCACAGACTGATCCAGACAATGAAGTGGTTTCACAAATAAGCATATTTTGATGACCCTACCTGTGCTGTAAAACTAAAAAGTCAATCCAAAATAATGTTTTCTTGGCTGTTATACAATTAACTCAGTGCAATGAGGTATTTAAGAATTAAATCAATCAGTTTTTTTTATCCATTGAGAAATTAAAACAAAAGCTTTTTTGGTCCAATATGCCATATGTTGGGTGGTGTTCAGAGCTGTGCATTTTGTATGTTTGTCTAGTTTATAGTCATTCACCACAGTCTGAGAGCATAGTTATACGTTCTACCCATCCTTACAGGTTTATTTGGAATCTACAGTACATTTTATTTGTGATAAGCATTGTTCTTTTGAAAACAACACGACAAAGTCAATGTCTCTGACTTGGCTGCGGGCACATTGTGAGAATGGATACAGCTTGTTGCAGGGTACTACAGTATACATACTAGACAGCACGAACCTCTTTGCCAGGGTTTACTTAAGAGAAAAGCTTTCATTGTTTTGCACCTTCGATTGAAAGCGAAGACCTGTCAGCTGGTTGGCCTTAGTCAAACGTCTTTACATGTCCAAAATTCAGAAACTTCTAATGCCTACAAGTAGATCTTATTAGGGGGAACATGTTCCTTTTTAATACGTCTTATGTACGTCTTGAGATTGCATCCCTGTGTGATACCCACCATCATTCTAGATTATATTAAATAAAACGTTATGAAAACCAAAATAAAATTTTTTTTGTTATTTGCATTAAATGTGTATACTTTTTCAGCATGTTTGAATTAGTTTAATGTGTAATACAATATATAAAACTACTTCATCCAGTTAATATCCGCAGGGAGGAGACATCCGCATAATGCT